CCCCAAAACCCCAAAACCCCAAAACCCCAAAACCCCAAAACCCCAAATAAATAATTTCAAATTGAAAATTCAAAAATTTGAAAATGAATTACGTTAAAGAGACTCATGATGAGGATTGCCGGTGCTGAAATATTCTCAGAGGTACACTTAACTCATAATTTCTGCAATTTTTCCTTCACTAATGATACTAAGTATCATTTTGTAGAGCTCGATTATGAACCAGAGAAAAATTCTCCGATTGATAAGTACCAAAGCCTGAGAAGAAGCGAGGAGAAGCTTTCAAATTGGTCTAGGAAACCTTACAAGTAAGTAAAAACCAACTCAAGATTGCTCATTTTTAGTGGGCTTCAATATTCTCCAGAGCATAAATACCATGCCCAGAAATACTCTTTTGAAGATAAGGAGAATAATTCATCAAATTCAAATGTGATTCAGCCGTATTCTCCTCCAACATTTGCTTCAGAGAATGTTGCTGGGAGGTATGAAAAGGGAAGAATATCTCCAAGGATGCACCCTGAAGCTGTTCCCACTGAGCTTATGCCTCATCAGTGCTCAATATCTCCTGGGTATGAGAACTCTTCACCCTCACTAGGAGAGAAAGTCCCCTCGATTGGAAGTGTAGAAATTAAGGCTTCAAAGGAGCCTAATTTGAACCAATACCCAAGCGTGGGAGAAGTCCAGAACGTCAGTGAAGAGAAAAGTGAAATTAAGTCCCTCAGGATGTTTAACCATTCCATTGATATTGGGGATTCCCCAGATTCTAAAGATCAGAACAAAGAGCTTCTTAATGCCAGCAGTTCCATCTGTAAGAGCTTGTTCTTAAATTTTAGCAACAACTGGGCTTGATCCAGCTAATCTCGAGATCATGAAGGGCGACCCCTTCCTGGTCAATATTGAGAGCACCAAGAATTGTGGCATGAAGAACAAAAAGAAGAAATTGAAGAAGAAAGAAACCAAGGAGTCTTTTTCAACTCAGTCTGAAGACTCTGTTATTAAAGCTGACCAAGTCTCACTCATGCAGCCAATCTTGTTAGAGCTTAAAAAGAACCTTATTGAGGAAGAGAAAAGAGTTAAACGAGAGAAATCTAAGAGAAAGTCAAAATCAAAGGCTAAGCGGGCTAAATCCAAGCAAAATCCCTACAACTATGTCAGGTCTAAGGTTGCTAAATCCATAAATGGCAATGGATCTACAAGATCTCGCACCAAAAAGAAGTCTAAAAGACGTTGTAGAAGAAGAGCAAAGTCTTTGCAATGGCTAAGGATTGGTAAAGCTCGTCCTTCAAGACCTAAGTCAGTCATTGTAAAAAAGAAATGTAAGAAGAGGAAAGCACGCTCTAAACTCCGCCACAGAAGAAGAGGGCCAAAAACCGAGGCGATTTCTGAAACAGCTTACTCCTACAAACCTCTGAACATCAAGACAGAAGTGGCTGTAAAGCTATTCCCCAAGAAAAAATCTCGAAAGAGGGAGAAAACAGTCAGTGCTTGGACTAGAGGGACTAAAAAGACCAAGAAAACCAACGTCCAGAGCCAAGTTTCTTGGATAAACAGGAATGCATGTCCCAAGAAGCAGGCTTATTCAGAGTACGAAAAGTATGAAGACATCTTTATCAAGGGAAAAAGCAAGAGAACTGATGTCGTTGACCATGCCTGGAATAACTCCAAGAGAGAAAGAAACGAGAAATGGGCCCAAAGTTAGCACATTTTTGATAATCTATAGAGCAAAGGAAAATCTTTAAGGAAAGGAAAAGACATACTAAATCCAAGAAAAATATTGTCTATAGAGAGAAAGAACGTAAACTGGACGAAGTGACAGAAGAAAAGTCCCAAACTAGGTCAGTAGCCGGTAGTTTTTGTAAGATTTGGGAATGATATTTAGGCGCTAGTCAAAAAGCACCTCCTCTGAGAAAGCTTAAAACTATGAAGAGGAAGAAAATAGATAATTCTGATTTAATAACTCAACAACCTAACGAGGAGAAGAAAAAGAATTTAGAGGATATTGAACATCAAAAACCTAAGAAAAGAATGAGCCGGCAGGAGCAAAAAGAGAGAGATAGTGCATTAAGTAAGCCTAAGTGGCAAAAAGTACCTTTGGAGAAAAAGATTAAGGAGAAATTAGCAACGCATGAAATATGCAACGAATATGCTGACAATCTCTCTTCGACTGGTCAGTTATCCCATAAACTTGCTCCTGAAAGTGAACCTGAGATAAAAATGACACAGTTCATTCCCACCAAAATTTTCTTAAAGAAAGAGGTCAAGAAGAAGGCAATGCAGGCGGTGAATCACACTGTAACCACTAAATCTTCCAAAGGGGAGGTTCTTAGCAAGATTAAAGTCTGTTCCGTCACCTCTGACTCAGGATCGGTTTAGCTATATTCCATAAGTATTCCATAAAATTTCCTCTCTATAACCCCAAATTACCTTCCCTAAGTCCTAAACACCCCCATGTATCCCTACCTTGGTTCCTTCCCTGACCAATCAGCGCTCTGGGCCTGCCCCAAATTTCCAATTTCTTAATAAATTTCAATATTTTCAATTGAAATTTCCCACTCAGGGGTTTTGGGGTTTTGGGGTTTTGGGGTTTTGGGG